GGGGGCAACGCGGTTGTGGAGCGCAGCTGACGTCGGCATCTAGGCCGCGACGAGGCGCCAGGGCGCAGCATGCTCACGGGGATTATGTCGATGTCAAAACTGGCGGATCTCGGGTAGGGGGTCCCAAACTGTGCGTCTAATGATAATGGTAACAGCGGGGGACACAATGTTTACCCAGGTTCGGGCCCTCTCGATGGAGGTAATACCCTACTTCCTGCTTGATTGATCTTGATGATATGAGTACTACAAGAGTTGATCTACCACGAGATCGTAGAGGCTAAACCCTAGAAGCTAGCCTATGATTATGATTGTTCTTGTCCTACAGACTAAACCCTCCGATTTATATAGACACCGGAGGGGGCTAGGGTTACACAGAGTCGGTTATAGAGAAGGAGATCTACATATCCGAATTGCCACAGTTCTTCTACCAGGCTGATGTAGAAGCAATACAGAAGATCCGCAGTTCTCCGCGCCAACAGGAGGACTTTGTATCATGGCCTTGGGACAGATCGGGGCAGTTTACTGTCAAGAGTGCCTACCACCTTGCAATGACTTCAATAAGAGATCATCTCAGTCCGGGTGCGTCGAGCTCTGCCCTAACAGGTGATCGGCCGTTGTGGAAGCTTGTCTGGTCTGCGGATGCCCCCCCCCCCCAAGATGAGACACTTTGCATGGAAAGTCATTTCGGGATCACTTCCAACAAATGTTGAGAAGTTTCGTCGACACATCAGTACATCCGCTTGTTGCAATCTCTGTCAAAGGGAGGAGGAGTCCTCATTTCATGCGTTACTCGTATGCTCTAATGCTGCCATGCTCTGGGACTCTATGTGGCTAGTCTGGCCATTTCCTCCCAGAACAGATATTCCATGTACGGGCTCAGAGTGGCTGCTCCACCTCCTAGCGGAATCAAACGAGCAAATCAGGAGCAGAATCATTATGGTGCTATGGCGTATATGGAATCTGCGGAATGAACTCACTCATGGTAAATCTATCCCTCCACTCGAGGTTTCCTGCTCGTTCTTGGCAAGCTACTATAACACCTTCCAACAAATCTCGCTTAGTGTTGAGGAAATTATGAAAGGGAAAGCACTGTTGGTTCATGAACCTACACAAAGGCCCCCATCTGTGTTACATGCACCTCGCAAACCATGGCCTCCTCCACAGGTGCATCAGGTGGCGTTGTCAATAGATGGCTCTTTTAACCCTACGGACGGGTCAGCGGGCTCGGGAATGATTCTTCGAGACATGACCGGGGCTGTTATCTTTGCATCCTACCGCAAATTATTCCACTGCAATGAAGCTCTCGAGGCAGAACTGCAAGCTATGATGGAAGGGCTGAAGCTGGCGGTAGAGCATTCTCAAGCCACTATCGTAATTCAATCTGATTGTGCGGTGGCTATCAAGATGCTTGGGGATGGTTCATTGGATAGGTCGGCTTATGGGCACTTGGTGTCAGAGATCAAGAGGTTTTTGAATGATAGGGTAGTTATTCCTGTTATAATTTTCCGAGAACAGAATAGGGTTGCACATTGTTTAGCTAATTTTGGTAGATGTGGGGATAGCACAGCCTGTTGGTTGGGTCATCCACCCGCATGCATTAGCAAGCTAGTTGCTTAAGATTGTAACTCTATCACTCTGGAATAAAATACCCTATGGTTCTTCGGAAAAAAAGAAGCTCTTTCTGCGTAGACAAAATGGATGGCTGGTCTTGGGTCTCACGGCATTTTCTTTTCTTCTAATAAAAAGTCGCGCATGTGCGGCGCAAGATGAAGAAGAATCCCGGCGACGCAGGCCATGTTCCGACCCCCATCCCATCCCATCCCATGAAACACGTCAGCCTTTCGTGTCGGCTCATCCCACATCGTCCAAAGGAAAGAGTAAAATGCACATGCGCCAGCGCCGCGGCAGCGTGATGCACGCGACCGACCAACCGCCGCTCCATCACCGCCGTCCGTCACGCGCCGCCCTCCCTCCCGGTCCCCCGTCGGCGTCGCCGCTTGCTTGCCTCCCTCTCTCTATCCCTATCCGGTTGCGTCCGGCACTCCGCCAGTGGCCCGGCGCGGCCCTATTTATACAGCACGCACGCGACGACGACCCACCCACACACACACCTCTCTCCTTCCCAATTCCCATTCCTACGGACAGGCAGACACGCAACAGCCCGGCGCGCATCTCGCTCGGGGAGCTCCGCCGCCGATCCGCCCGCCTCCCCCTCCCCTCGCTCGCCCGCCATGGAGGAAGCCAAGGGTGAGCATACGCACACCCACGCCGCGCTCTCTCATCCACCCATCCATCCGCCCGACCGCGGACCGCCACCGGCCGGCGGCAATTCGTCCCGCTCCGGATCGGTCGCGTCGCGTGCTAGCTTTCCTTCCTCTTCTTCTTTGTTAGTCGCTCTCGGGGGCGGCGGATCGCCGCCTCCTGCGCCGCGCCGGCCGATCAGACGAGCGTGGGGCGGATCCGAGCGTGGGGCGCGTGCCGGACGGGGGCTGGGAAATGTGGCTGTTTTGTTTCGGATGGGTCCTCTGCTCTGCTTCGACCGATAACATAAAAGGCAAAGCCACCGCTCTGCTTTCGCCACATCTGGGAAGTCTGTTAGTTTTGCAATATGTGAAGTGATGTGCTCCTACCGTACGCCTGTAGATTACCCAGTTCTGCACTCCGACAATTTTGTTTTCTGCTCCGATTGCACGCAGTCACTCTTCCAAGGGCTGCCCTGCTACTGCTTACAACCTTCCAAGTTCATGGAGGGTCTTGTTTGTTTGTTTATGTGATAATTCTTGTGCGCATTTCATAGTTTCTTCTGCCAGATTGTTGGGTAAATCCTGTGCAAATTATGAAGTAACTTGGGTGGCTCAGGACTCATCTTCTTTGTTCTTCTGCAGTTGTGGAGACCAGGGATGGGACTATCGCAGTTGCTTCAGCGTTTCCCGGTCATCAGGAAGGTACTAATTACCATTTCCTCTCTCTACTTCTTACTTACCACACTGCAAGGCAAGGCATATCTGACCATTGCAGAACCCTTTGCTACATTTCTTGTTCTGTGTGATTGGAGAGCTGCTCAAAAGGCTTTCTTATATATGCTTATGTTTTGCCTCGTTTAACAGCGGTACAAGATAGGGATCACAAGTTCTTGTCGAAAGCGGTAGAAGAGGCTTACAAAGGAGTTGACTGTGGCCATGGAGGCCCCTTTGGCGCGGTTGTCGTCCGCAACGACGAAGTAATAGTTGGGTGCCATAACATGGTTTTGAACAACACCGATCCAACTGCCCATGCTGAAGTCACTGCAATAAGAGAGGTAGGGTGCCATGTGCACAGATGTTATCCCCACCAACTACAACTACTTGGTGCTGCTGTTTACATTTTGCTATTGAATAGTAGCTCCACCTGCTGATATATGCTTGCTGTATCCAATACAGACTTCATGCTTTTGGAACCAGTACCACAACATTCTTGCAGAATGTATTGTTATTTGTGCTCACCTGTCTACACAGCTGAGATAGAATATGTTCTAGCCTCTTTGTCCATTCTTGTACATCTTCATGTTTTAGATTTTCAGCTTTCCTGATGCTCACATTAGTAGTGATATTATCTTGTATCACCTTGTCAAATTAAGCGACTTCAGAATGCTTTGTTGAAGACAGGGCTAAAGTTCCATAGTGATGCAAACAAACTCTACCAGCTTAAGAACTGTTTTTTCTAATTTTCATCAGAAAGCTTGGTAATGGATGAGTTGTCAGTGCTGGAGCCTTTATATTTTAAAATGTCCTTGCTGAATGGTAACAGAGTAGGTACTGTCCACATTAGTGGATAAAATAGAACATGTTTATTGTGACATCAAAACTTGCATTTATTTTTCTAAACAATCCACCAAGGGTTGTTGTTAGTGTCATATGGTTCGTATTCCCTCTGAGCTGGTATATAATGCTTGGTATTTTTGCATTTTATATCAGTTCCATTCCATGGCGTGGTTATCCGTCTCACACAAACAGTTTTCGCTTGTACTCTAGGCTTGCAAAAAGCTTGGGAAGATTGAGCTGTCGGATTGCGAAATGTACGCCTCATGTGAGCCTTGCCCAATGTGTTTTGGGGCTGTTCATCTATCCCGGATCAAGGTTCGCCCCTTGCCTTACCATTCCTCATCTGGTACAATATGCTTTGTCTAATCCTTAATTAGCAATCTTGTTGAATGCTTCAATGCAGAGGCTGGTGTACGGAGCCAAGGCGGAAGCTGCTATTGCCATTGGATTCGACGACTTCATCGCTGATGCTCTGAGAGGAACCGGGTTCTACCAGAAGGCCAACATGGAGATCAAGCGAGCAGATGGGAATGGAGCCCTGCTTGCTGAACAAGTCTTTGAGAACACCAAGGAGAAATTCCGAATGTACTAATGTGTAGCAAAGACATGGTAGAATTTCACAGCATGGAAGACCCTGATGCTCAGAAAAAAAAATAATGTAATTGTCAACATTCTGTCATTGGTGATGGACCACAAACTATCAATTTAAATATACCATTTGATTCTCATTACGCTTCTATTTCTCAGAAATAAGTATGTTATTGTTCGAGGAAGATTAGTATTACCTTGCTCCTTCATTTGATCTTTCTTAATTCTGAGATAGCAATTTGGATACATTGCTGGTGATAATAATAAGGCTTTCATCATCAGCCCATCTTTAAAAAGTCAGAGAAATCTATGAATACGGCATTTCATAATTTGCATAGCAGAAACAACTGGATACAGTTTTTCTAGCCATCACATGTTTCCTCCTGCATTTCAGTTCATGTTTTTTGATTCGTTATTTACATAGCAGAAATCGCTGAATACGTTTTAATTCTGTGTAAATATTTAGTCCTGAACTTGCTAAAAGTGAGTTTCCCACTGCATTTCAGCCAAGCATAAATGCCATTCCTTGCTATTCAACTTGCAATGAAGGAAGCCTACTCACAAAATTGGACATATCCAATTGTTCTGTTCTTAAACCTATGACTCAAAACTGAAATATTACAGTAATTTTGCTTTTGTTCTCATGCTCCAACAAGGGCTTTGGAAACAGAGAACAAATCAAAGATCATGACAGAACAAGCTAGCACTGACATTCATCTCCACGTCTATATACAAAGAAACAAATTGCATTCTAAGCAAAACTGATTGCAAAAATAAGATATACATGGCTAACACGACGCATCCCATGACGCAAGCCCCTTTGCAACAAATAACAAGCATCTATATCTACCTACATTACAGCGACACCAACTGCAATAATGAATTTAGTAATATGTTGGCACTAGGCTTATTATGTATGGATGCCCTTGAACCAACGACTAAAGAACTGCCACCGTCATAGCAGATCGACGTCTCTTCACAATCTGTTCTGAGTTGCTCGCACGACTCTGGAGTCACAGAGTTTGAATAGCCCTGGACAAGCGAACAATTCCACGGATGCCTGGATCGTACGCTGAGGGAGACATTCGAGATGCATATGCTGCTGAAGTTGTCGCCCTCAATGCCCTCCAAGATGCCAGCAACACCAACATCAACGCCAACAACGTTCTCAATTGTGATGTTGCTTATAATGGGGAGAGCATTCCTGTCATAATTGTTATCAGGATGTTCGCCGTAGTTTCCATTGATCCTTATGGCCATCGAAACATTGTGCATGCTGACGTTAGCTATGTAGACGTTCCTTACATACCCTCCACGTCCTGGAGCGGTCTTGATTCTGATTCCATGCAATGAGTTCACAATGCGGAGGCCTTCAGCCCGGACTTCAGATATGCCACCTGACATCTCACTTCCAATGGCAATTCCTGCACCGCCACCTGTCTCCCCTGTGATGTTGCTGATGCTGATGTTGGAGCTAGGCCGAGCAAAAGAAATGCCGTACTCATCCCAACCACTTTTGATGACAATCACATCGTCTCCGTTTCTGACATAACAGTGACTGATGCAAACATTTGTGGATGAATCTGCATAGATGTGGAGTGGCGTTAGTACTTCGGGTGAACATTACACGGCAGTTTTAAGCCCTTTGTGGTTGCATAATAAAGACGGCCTCAAAATTGTTGTGCATTGTACATCTAAATAACTAGCTTACAGTTGCATCTCAAGATCTGAATTAACAGTTTCAGCTAACAATTTTCATATTTAGATTATTTGCCATTTCTGGAACTACATTTTCTCAGATGGTAAGATAAAATAACTTTGCCCAAGACAATAAATTATTTTGAACTGGTTAACTACAGCCTGTACGAACAAAGTATGATTAATTTACATATTTATCAGAATCTCAGTTATAAATGGAAGTTAAAGTTAACTTTCAAAACACAATGGAAGGAATATCATTAAAAGGGGAGCATGTGACATGATATTGCAAGAACCAATGGTTTTCCTTTTGGTTTACCCAAAGTCACAGTTTAAAATGGGACATAAACAAGCATAACAATAAGAATAACGGGGATGGACCTGAAGTGGAAAAGCAAATCAAAACTTCATATTACCTGGATTAATGCCATCAGTGTTTGGTGAATCCAATGGTGCTAGGATTGTGACATGCTCGACAATAACCTGACTGTTTATTCAGCAAAAAGTCTAGGTAAAAAATTGCCATTTGTAGATAAATTCTTAAGCTTTAAAAGAAAGCAAGTGGCCATGTAGAAAATCAACCTGCAATATACAGGATGGATATTCCAGAACGGGGAGTTCTTGAAAGTCAAATTGGATATAACAACATTGGAGGAGTACATCAACTCGACAAGATGCGGCCTAGTATAGTTCAGTGTGTTGTTATGGAACCAATCCCACCAAATGGCTCCTTGACCATCAATTGTCCCATTAGCACCTACCAAGAGTGCCACATTTAAACTCTTGCAAAACCAGCATAATAATAAAAGGTCGCTGATGCAACATAGACACAAGTTAGCTACTAACCAGTAATTATTACATCTGTCAAATGGGAGCCAAAAATTAAGCTCTGGTGCCTTCCTCCGGGGAGCTCTCTACCGCGCCCATAGGATGGAAGAGGGTCTATAACAGGCCAATCAGATGAGTGCTGCAGATACAGTATTTTCAATCAATAAAGTTGGAATTTACCACTATTTGTTCGGTAACCACTTCAAGAAAACATCATTTTGTAAAGCATATAAGAAGATTACATATATAGTTTTTCATTTAGAGGAAATTGTAACCAACATGACAGTATAAGATATCATGGGCATGTGCATCATGTCATAAGCATACAATTCAAAACAGTAACAGGATGCAAATTATTATGTGCAAAGAGCGGTGAGCTATATTACCGGAGATCCAATTATAACTGCATCCTTGTCCAATGATAAGGTGAGATGGCTAATGAGATTAAAACCCCCTGTCAGCCACCTTCCAGCAGGCACAAAGAGCTGTGCGCCGCCCTTGTCCGCAAATGAATTGAGGTAGAAGATTGCATTCTGGAATGCTTTGGTGTTGAGAGTCACGCCATCCCCGATAGCGCCAAACTCAGTTATGGTGACACTATGAGGACGGTAGACAGTCGATGCCATGTCCGCGCAGTACATGCCGGATACGCTGGACCATTGGGTCTCAATTATTGTTAGGAAAACCAAAAGGGCTTGAAATACCTAGCAAAAAATCAAAAGAGAGTAATGTCAGTAGTCATCGCGTATTCGCAGATTTGAAATAACCAAAGCAAAATACTAGCAGCAAAATGGAACATGTGAAACGAAGAGTTGCAAGCAGGCTTCATTCTACTCTGTTGGTACGGACACGCAAGGTAACACAAATAGAGCAGAATAACGCCTCACGGAGAACAAAATCATTCTTTGTGTCTGAATGAACTTTTCCCCACAAGTATCAGTACACCTAGAACACCTCCAAGAAAGCCAAACAAACTAATCTTATCTTCGTTTAATGTCCCCTGTTCCCCACAAAACTAATGGTCCCTGCAAGCACATGTATAGGCATCCTGAACCCACAAATGCGCAATATCATTTCACTCCAATTTCTGAATTCGCTACCGACAACCAAGCGTTTGGCATCAGGCACATGGTACGACAGGACAGGAGGACAGGGCGCACTACACCATAATTACGCCTCACCGGGAACAGAATCATTCTTATGTTTGAACAAACTTTTTCTCACAAGTATAGGAACCCTCCAGCAAAGCCAAGCAGGCCAAATCTCATCTAGTTTATCCCTTCTGTTCCCCGCTAACTAATGGTCCCTGCAAAACACATGTATATAAACCCAAGGCATCATGAATGAATTCCCAAATGCCGAATATCACTTCCGTCCGATTCCTGAATTCGCTATCGTGGGTACCCGGCAACAACCAAGCATTTGGCATCAGGCACATGCCACGGCAAGGCAAGAGGACAGTCAGGACACAATACAGCTCAGTGTGCACATTCTATCCACCTCTGAACACGGGCTGGGTGAAGGGCGGATCACGCCCCGATGGTCCAGCGGGGATCACCCCGCACGACCAGCCCCACTCGCCCATTCATCGGACCACCGCCGCCGCGGCCGGCACCAACCCACCGACGGCAAGCACGGAGAAGGCAATGGGGGACGGATCCCACCGCCGCCGCCACCAAAACGAAGCGGCATCCATCTATGATCTATGATCCATCTCCCCTACGCCGCCGTCCGAGAAAAGAGATCGAGGAAGGAACAGAGGACTGGGTCAGCGGGGACTTACCGGCGCGGATCTCCGCATCTTGCCGGCGGCGACAGATCTTCTTCCCCTTCCACCGACGCCTCCTCTTAACTCGGGTCCGGTCAAAGCCCGCGCCTTGAATGCGGCGGCGTGAACTGCAACAGCACGACATGAAATGAAACCCCATCAAGAGAAAAAAGAATATACAAGGAGGCGCGGTTGGCTGGCTCACCCGCCGGAGATGGATCGGCGAGAAGGCCTCCTCTTCCTCACCTGCTCTCCGCTCCGCTCGGTCAGGACTCAGGAGAGGGGGGAGAGTGACTGAGGGGAGTGGGGTGATGCGGTGGGCAGAGTAGACAAGGCAGTGTGGCAGGGGCTAGGCCAATCATGGTGCCGCCAGCGAGTCCGGCACGGCCACGGTGGTGCGCGCCATCCGCCCGTAGGAGTCAAAGCCGCGGCAGAGGAGGAGCAGAGCCTGGCTTTATAGCCGCCGCAGGACGGAACGGGAGGGGAATGAGATGGATCTCCCTCCCTGCCCACTGCTCCTCCGCCCTAAATTCTAGGCCAAGTGACAGCCATCCGCTGTCACTCCTCGCCAAATCTCCTCCGTCCGTCTATTTCTTCTCTCGTTCTCGGTTGTCATATCTGGCCCTGTTTTCCATATTTATCATATGTAGAAATCACGTGGTGTGGAGTAACTGGTTAACACGACGACTTCCCAGCTGTCTACTGAAAACAAGGTTTGTCCGGCTCCGGGGAGGGAGGGGCGATGACGGCGGCGCGCCGCAGCTCGCTCTACTGCTTGTAGTCATCGCTAGGTGGTCAACGGATCTGGTTGTAATTTTTGTTACCTCTGGTGGTCGACATGATTGACGAACCGTTTAGAATTTTCTCCCGCAAAAAAAAAAAGAGATCAAGCAAATGGTGCATGCTTTTTTTCACGTTTCGGTCGATTCCAGCATAGGCATAGGCGGAGACGGCGCTGAAAGCAACAAGTAAGAGACATGATGACACCATGGTTTGTGGCAACAGCCACACCACCAAGGAGGGCAGTGGCGGCTCAAGGAATTTGCAACCGGATATTCATGTGTATTCATTTTGTCAAAATCATTGTTGTTTTTTAAATATTGTCACTGTTTTGCCAAAATCAACACTGTTTTGTAAAAACCATGGGTATTCACGTGAAGACCCAAGAATACACCTAGCGCCGCCCCTGAAGGTGGGCGAGCCAGCAACGAGCAAGAGACAGGGCAACCACAGAGTCGTCGCGAGAGACAAGCACGGGCAGGACCTCAAGGTGATGGGTGGTTGCCACAACAGAGAAGGGGTTTAGATGGATGACTTTGGGTGACAGAGGCGGCGTAAGTAGGGTGGTGCTGGTACGATTGTTAGGCCTATGTCCGCTGACAAGCAACACTATTAGGTGAAGGAAAACATGAGGCGGGGGCCAGGGCGGTGGGGGTGAAGGGATCGAGGAATAGACGATTCCAGTTTTTTTCCATAATGTACCCTTTTTTCTTGACGCGATCAACTTGTGGTTGGATGGTTAGTATGACGGTGGTATCCATAGCCTATCAAGGTTAAAATCTTTTACTTGACATTGATGCTCACATTTTTCTGGATTTATGTCAACCTTTTTAGCTATGTTCGTTCAACGGGAGGGGATGTCATGTCGACCACGAGGCACCCATGTTGTTCGTAAATCTCAAGATGTTATATCGGCTCGGTCTCTTGGAGGTGCTCATAGGGGCAGTGCGTGCGTGCTTGAGTTCTTAGGGATGAGTTGTGTGCTGAGTGACTTCGATTGTAGTGTATTAAAAATATATTTTCTTCCTACTATAGATGTAGATGTCCACGGAGCCGGATCTTCTAACTTAGAGAAGCAATGTCACAGTGCTACAGTGCTATTCTTGTGTAGAATGAGAGAAGGAATGTTAGAGACGATTAGCGGATTATTTACTATTGATATTTTATTGTAGATAATAATAATTTGTGATTAATTTTATTTCATCATCAATTTGTTTGTACGTAATGATTACAAAATGGACACATTAAATCTGTAATTTGCAAAGTAATTTAAGTCATTTTAGCCTTAATCACATGGATTGAACGAAGGCAAGTTAGGGTATTGTATCTTCTCTAACATTCCTTTTTAATGTAAGAGGATCCAGTTCCGGTGTCCACATGCACGCACTGTTCTAGACGTGTTTCGGGACATAAATAAATTAACCATGAGGGGCTGGTCGATTAACCGAGCGAATCATACACGATGAAAAATAGCAGATACTATTCTCAGCAAGAAAAAAAAGGCAGATACGCGTTCGGAGCCTACAGCTAGCGGCAGGCAAGGTGAGCCAGTCCGTCGGTCGGTGTACCTCCCGCTCCCGGTCAACATGACTACACTACACACGACCTGGCAGCGCTAGGCTTACGGCCTCGTGCCATCATGCCCGTGCCACAACAACCAACTCCCTCCCTTTCCGTTCGCGCGAGGATCCAAAGCCCATGGCCTTGCCTATGTACCTAGGCCGGGGCTCCGTCTCGAGTAAATTGCACACTTCGTCCCTGTACTCGTTGGTTTGTAACAAAACCATCCTGGTACTCGCGAAGTGCTTCTGTACGGTCTTCAGACTTGCGATCGTGTAACAAAGACGGTCCTCTGTACGCAGCGGCATACGTCTGGCCCTTTTCCCCTGCCACGTCAGCGCCTAGAGCTGGTCCAGCCGAACCGACTGGCTCGAGCCGGACTTAGACGACGAGACGACCCCCTGTGTAATCGAGGTTTTCAGTTGCCGCCTCTGTTCGTGTGTGTTCTCTTCCCCGAGCACGACGCAACCAACAGCGGAGGAGGGTTTGATCGAGGGCAGAGATCGCGGCCGTGGGGAGCACCCGGAGTGGGAAGGCCTCAGAGGGAGGCGGCGACACTGTCGTCTTCCGTTGTGAGTGCCGCTGATGGCGCCCATACAACGCCAGGATAAGGGGCCCGTCCCGACGTACGGTATGTTGATCGCCGGAATAATCCAAGTCGAATGTTGTTTCATATGCTCAATTTCCACCATTTGCATACCTATTCCCCATTCCACCGGGAAATTTATAATTTTTATGCACTAATTTCGTTAGGGCCAAGACTTGTACCTGTCGCTCGTAGGAGATAGATTTCTTTTTCTGTTTGAACTCAGCTGATCCATTTGGTTTGTCGCTCATTAAGTCAACGGCATAATTTGGTTAGGATTTAGACACAGTTATTTCATCTTTCCATCTGAAACTTTTTTTGTGTAATTATAACAGAGGAAGGCAGTGATCTATTTACTGTGGAGTTCATATTTGGAGGATTTTTCCTTGGCGGTGGAAGCAGCAGGGCATATCTGAATGGCCGCAAGGTGTGCTATGATTTTTGTGATGCTACTCAAGCTTCTATGCCAATGTTGTATGAATTAGTAGAGCACTTGGGGTATGAGACGGCTGGAAGAATTGCTATTTACTTGTTGCTGCCAGGTATGCAATTGAATGAAGGTGGGCTGAAGTTGTTGTCGAGGAACAATGACACAAACATTATTAGGAAAGTGGTCAGAGAGGGGTACAAATATCTCATGTTTTACCTAGATCATGAGGACAACTATGGTGGAGGAGGATGGGATGATGCAGTTTCAAACCCTTTTACTCGTCAGAGAGAGGAAAATATCGTTGAGCCTAGCTTTGTTGTCCCAGAGGAGAATAGAAGTGAGGTAATGTATATAGGTGATAG